GCTTCCCTCCTGGGGCCGCCTCTGCTTGGCCTCGTCTTATTCCTGGGCGTCGCTCTGCCATGGCCCTGAGGAGGGCCCGGGAGGCTGCCCCGGGCCCTAACATGCTCTTTTGGGGTGCCCTGGGGGTGTCCCGGCTCTGAGCGGGGCCCTGGTATGCACCCGCGGGGGCGGCCACGCTCGAGGGCGCTGGTTGGGGGTGTGCGCCCCTGGGGTGCGGTCGGGCTCTGGCTTCTCGTGGAAGAAACCGTGCTTTGCAGTGTCGGGCAGGGCACTGCTGCTGCCTGGCAGGCTGGTGTCAAACCCAGCTGTGAAAGCGGCCTCAGAAGCACGCGGGTTTGGTTGTCCCACACAAAGAACCCCTTGAGACTGCAACCAGAGCAGCAAAGGTTTTCTCTTTGCTCCTGCTCTAAGAGGATGCTGGCTTCTACAGGGAATCGTTAGCAGATCCACCGGCTGCCAGTCTTCCTCTCTGCCTTGTGCCCCCAGCCCCCTAAGTGTCCTTGGAATACCAGAATACTAGTCTCTGTTTACACTATAGCTCTATCTGATTCACGATCTGAAAGCTGCCCCCATGCTATTAAGCATGGGAACATCGAAGGGCAACCATCTCCCCCAGCTTTGCCAGTGGGTTGCAGCACGTGTTATGTGTTAGTCCCTTCCCACAGGGGAAGCTCTCCTTTCCCACTGTTGCCACATCATCAGCCCTTCTGACATCCACTGAAAGGATTGTAGTTTAGCCATCTAGGAGAATGTGCTAGTGCCATTGCTTATGAAGAGCATGCATAACATACCAGCAGCCTGTTCAGGTGTAAGGGTTTTTACTTAAAAACCTGATATTTGTAGGCTTTTAAGTTCAAAAATTTCAGCAAATAAAATCACTGCAGTAGTCCTAGGTTAAGTTGCATATGTATGAGCAAAATTCTGAGTGTACCCTCTAAAGATACTTGAGAGGGGTGTTGTGTTTGGCTTTTTCTAGCCAAACCTGACAGAATCTAGAATTGCTTGGGTGTGCTGGTCCTGCTTAAGGATTTTTATTCTGTGTGAAAGCTTAATTATTTGTTTAAAATGTGTACATTCAGCAGTTAGATATTTTTGATGTTTGTATAACTCTGTCTTCCATTCATTTCTACTGTTTTCATTTTTGGAAAACATTAGCTTCATCCAAAAAAATTGCAGCCCTGTGTATGTTGTAAGAGTTCTCAGCCTGGCCTGCACGCGCTCTAGACTACAATCAGGTAGACTACAAGCTTCATACTGTGGCCAGTATTTGTATTAATCTTATGTGACCAGTGTTTGAAAATATGAGACTCGGCACCGCGGAAGCAATGAGCAATCTGGCTGCACTTCCCTTAGAGCCTTGCTCAAAATTCAGATTTCTTTTCTAACTAGTAGTCCAGTTTTGTTGAACGTTTGAATAGAGTAGTAAATCACATTCCGAAGATCATATTTGAAAAGACTTTTGTTTCTATTATAATTAGAATGAAAAAGTATGCAAAAATAACAGTTTTATAAATACACATGGAAGCGTGTTCTGACACCAGTAGACGAATGACATGCTAATCGTTTATTAAACTTAGTCTTAGAAGAAACAAAGCTCAGTAAATCAGTTTTCTGGCTAGTAGAAGCATCCTTTATTTTCAGGTTTGTAATGACAAAAACAATATTTTAATATGTTGACACATTCAGAGATTAAGTAATGGCTTTTAATGCAAGTTGTTACTCTCTGGCAATTTAAGCTTTGCTATGTGAATGTTGAACTTTGGGTTATCCAGATATACACTCTGTTTTTGGAACTTACTAGCATGTAAAGGAGTAGTTCAGAGAGCGTTAGAGAAGGAAAAAGATGCAGACAGATCAACACGGGCAATCAGTTGAATGCAAGTTCTTGGCAACTGAAGCTTCAAAATACTGTATTGGAGGGATTTTTAGGCAATTCCTCAAACATCCTAGTTTGGAAATCATACTAGAGTGTCAATTTTCTGTTGGTCAGCTAGACGTGAAAAAATATTGCTTGCATTTACTTTTTGTTTTGGTAGGGGCAGGTTTACTTGTTGCAGCTCAAGATGCTACAGAAGATGAGGAAGCTGTGGAAGATACTGTAGTTGAAGATGAAGATGATGAAGCAGAAGTTGAAGAAGATGAGCCTACAGACTTGGTAACTGAGCATGAATGTTATTTCAGAATTGTGAATTAGACTGAAAGTGCTTGAAGCTAGGTAGCTTAGATGTATGTAAGTATATGTTTAGTGTCACTGGTATTTAGAAATTGCTTTTTCAAAGTTTCCAATTAAACTTATGCTCCATTTGAAGTTTTAGAACAATTTGTCTTTTCTTTCTGAATTACCAGTGGAAAAACTACATGGGAAAAATTCTTTCTGAATTGTCCAGTGACAGTTGGACAATTTCCAACTACGAAAACTTTAGAAAAACAGTTTAGAAAAGAGAACACTGAGCGGGATAACAAGATCTCGTGGAAGCTTTTAGCAGTTCTTCTCAGTTTACTGAGATGCACCTGGGAAAGGGCAGTGGGGTACAGGACTACTTGCAAGAGCCACCATCTCCATGTGGAAAATAAGCCCTTAATGCTTTTTTTTGCCTGATTAGAGAGCGACTCATCAAAAGGGGAAACCCAGGACAAGTGAATTTATAACCTTGTTTAGTTCCAGCAGAGCCCAACCTCTTTCAGGGACATAACACCAGACCTAAAAATGAATAAGAAGTTTCTCTTAAACACTCTGCCCCTGCTCTGGAAGTAGCTCAGTTGTCTCATGGCTGTTTGTAACTTTGAAAAAATGCTTCTTTTCTAAATAGAAATATATTATATGTGAACACTTAACATTCAGGTTCTTCCCTTTTCCTTCCACCCCCAAAAATAAACCTTACTGTCGCTTTCTGATTGGAAACCTTTCAGTACTGCTAAATGCTTTTGAATACATCAAGATGCAGTTGAGAATAGTCAGTGTCACACCTAACAGGTGGAAGGATAAATGCTGAAAAAGATGCTAATCAAATCGGCAGGGAGAACAGATTCTGTATGCTAGCTTGTCATGCGGGGTTTTCATGAAACAAGCATGGTCTTCGTGTCGCTGTTCATTATAGGCTATTTCACAACAGTCTCTTGTCTTAGACAGAAGAAAAAGAGGAAGAAGACTCGTCAGGCGAACCTAAAGCCTCACCTAGTGCTGATACAACCATTTTATTTGTGAAAGGTGAAGGTAAGAGTCCTGTGCCAATCTACCATCAGATTCCTTACTGTTGCATGAAGTATAACAATATGTGCATTAAAAACAATGGAGCTCTAAAATACCAAATCTTTTCTGGTCATCCTGTGCTTAAAAACAAGGACTTAGGTATGCTGTATGGAGTTTCTAACAGTTGAATATTTTTGTGTTGTAGACTTTCCAGCAAACAACATCGTAAAATTTCTGGTAGGCTTCACCAATAAGGGTACAGAGGATTTTATTGTTGAATCTCTTGATGCTTCCTTTCGTTACCCTCAAGACTACCAGTTCTATATCCAGAACTTCACAGCTCTTCCTCTGAATACAGTAGTTCCACCACAGAGACAAGCCACGTTTGAGTACTCTTTCATCCCAGCTGAGCCTATGGGCGGTCGTCCTTTTGGACTAGTTATCAATCTGAACTACAGAGACGTAAATGTAAGCCTAATGTTCTGATTCCTTGTGTTCTTTTTAGTTGATGGGGAAATGTCAGGAAGGAATTGCTTAGTCAAGTTGATACCTCTTCAGACAGTGAATGCCTTTGAGGCTTTTAAGTAAATCAGTACATGCATAAGCAAAGTAACCAAGACTGTTTCACGACAGTACTCCATACACGTGCAGGAGTGCTGTGTTTTTTAACCTTGAAGTTACGTTAACAGTGGAAGCTAGATTGCTTTAGAATTATGTAGAAGTGGGCTATGGTTGTTTAAGGAAAAAAATCAGAGATCCCTCTGGGATAACTTAATTTCACTGTACCCTTCAAACTGGGTTTTAACCAACTCAACCATCATCTTTAATCCTGTCTGCAAATTCAGCTTGGAGGAAATACACGACTTGCAGTTGGGAGAAGAATTTTTCCAAAAGCATACATGGGAATTGAAATACAGGATTCCTTTTTATTGTAGTCTGGGCTGAGGTATAAGGCTTCTGTACCTTTCAAAGTGTTTTGATTGAGCTAATAAGATCCTTTGGCATGTAATGTCTTATGCTACAGAAAATAATCTCTTCAAGGCTAGATGTGACTTTCTTGCTAATAGCAAAACTTTTCTTTGCACTTGCACAAACATTTGCTCAAGAAAGTAATCGAAAATATTATGTGGAAACTTTGTTATAGGGCAATGTGTTCCAAGATGCTGTCTTCAATCAAACAGTTACAATTATTGAAAAAGAAGATGGGCTGGATGGAGAAACGTAAGTAGACAGGAGAGTGAAACTTAGTTGGTGTACTGGTAGAACCAATTATTGATGGGGCCGATGAGAACTGTTCTTGTATCTTCATTTTATTGGATGCTAGACGTAATCTGTGTCTTGTTGATAGTATTTGACTTGCATACACTGAAAACCTTGATACGCTGAAAACCTGAACTTTTTTTCGTCCAAACTAAGTTCTGTGTGTCAGCACTAGGAATCTTCAGGATTAATGCTGTGTTAACTAACAGCTTATGCAAATGCTTTGCTTGTGGAACTTAAGCCTGGAGAAATACATAGTGCTGTGTAGATGTATACCTGTCAAGCTTTTGTTATCCTAGCATGTTTTTTCCTAGGAGTTAAAAGATGTATATAGGGCTGTAGGTCCTACTGTGAAGACTGGAATAACATGCTTCTGGAGCACTCTAGCGTAATCCGAGATTATGTAAACTGAAAGATGCCTCTTCAGTATGAGACGGGGAGCTTGCACTCATTCTTTGTTGCACTTACCCTATGGGTTGCAGTTTTTTATTTTCATGAGCGTTCTTCTATGTTAAAGATGTAATTAATCTGGCAGACCTTAAGCATTGCAAGGATGGGCTGTGATAATATACTTCTAAATATTCTAATACTGGATTGGGATTTTAAGAGAGCCTGTGAGTTAAATATTTCTGAAAAAACACTTTTTTGAAGACAATGAATATTTGAATTCTCCAGCCACAGGTAGAATTTGCCCACTGAGCAAACTTCCCTTTTAAAAAAGGGAAACTAGAGAAAACAGCTGTTGCTTGAATTCATTTTTGCAAAATAGAATAGCATCAATGAAAGAGCAACTGATCATCTGAAAATGTACGGTATCCTGATGATAAAGGAGCTCTCGTAAGAATTCAGATCATCAGTCGGGACCAGTTTGAATTAATGTCCTATGAATGGGTGCTTCCCATAAAACAGGGATGTCCCATTAAGTCTCTCTTCTACAGTTTAACTCTAATTTATTATTTCTGTTGTAAATTTGAATTAAAATGTTCAACAAATGTTGGAATAGGTTCTTCACCTCACAAAAGTTCTGTCTGCTCCTAAAATTAATTTTTGGATTGAATTTGTGTTCACCTACTGCTAATTATCAACAGATATTTCAGATAGGATTCTGCCAATGAAATTCATGCATTTTTTTTATTTTAAGGAATTTTGACTGTGGAATACAGAACTAGATGCCTTAAAGCAAGGCTTTTCAAAGCTCTGTTGCTAATAAATGTGACTATCCTGGCAGTACTTGCCTTGTATTAGCATACTAGAAGCATATAATGGATTTGAAAGCTTTTGTAAGTGGTGGAAAGCCAAGTCACACACGAATACTGCCTGTGACCCAACGTCTTGAAATACGGTGTTGCAAAAGAGTTCTTGCAGGTACTAAATTTCAATAATTACTAGTTTATACAGTTTTTGAGCCTTTATGGCATTTTATGGCATTGCTCAAATGTTCTGTTGTTCACAGTTAAATTTGGGGTTACAATTCCTGAAATTTAAAATAATTATTTAACGTTTGTTAGCACTTTACTTTCAGGTTCCTTATATTGTGCTGCTTCTCCCCTACCCCTGCAAATGGCTCTTGAAAGATTAAGCAGGCATGTGGCCGTAGCTAGGCTTAATTGCATTTAAAAGTTTACAAACAGGCATAGCTTAAGATTAACAGTTTCTTAAATTGCTTTTCTTAAAGGATCTTCATGTACATGTTCCTTGCTGGACTTGGTCTGCTTGTCATTGTTGGCCTACATCAGTTATTAGAATCTAGGAAGGTGGGTAATGTGTGTGTGGGTTTTTTTTTTTACCCCCCCACTCCCCCCATGTACTTGTTAAAGATATCAGTAAGGTCCTGTATTAAAGTAAGAAAGCAATACTGTAAATCACTTCTGGCCTGGAATGGTACAGGTAGAACTTCCAAAGTTTTATTTTTGGAGTTGAGATCTTGAAAATCACTGGAACAACTGGACACCTTTTTTAAAAAAAAAAAAAGGATTTAGATTCCTTGCCTAATGCTCTTTCTAATGTTCTTTACCACCACACTAAAGCAGTTGAATTGGAAGCTTTGACATGTTTTCCAAATGCTGGATGTGTGCAGTTACTGGTTTAATACTTCCTGGACTGACTTTCCCCATGGTCTCTATATGTATTTGTTGTGTTAAACTAAATCAAACGTTAGGGAAAACAGCTGTTTAGTCCTTTGTTTAGTGCCTAACAGTGCATTGCTATAATATTGATTAGGGCCTTCTGGATTCCTTGTAATACTGTAACAGCTAAGGATGGTCAGCATAAGTGGTCTGACAGGTAAAAGCCATGGGAGACCTAGGTTTTATCTGCCTAGGAAAATAGGCTGAAATACTTTGAGTACCTCTTGATGCAGCCAAGCTTACAATATATTTGAAGGAGCTTCCCTTGGGAAGAAGTATGGAATAACTGTTGTGCTATGAACTCCATTTTGCAGGGTGATACCCAAACACAAATACTGTGCTAATCTGAAAAAGTACAACAAAACAGCTCATCAGAGTTTGATTTTTCCATCAGTCTTTTTCCACAACAGGCATAATGAACTTGTGTGGGCATGTATAAAATCTTGATATCTGTGTGGAATAAGTATTGCAAGGAATTAGAAGTGGTAACACCAAGGTTAGGTGGCTGGAATACAGTGGCTAACCTTAAGCTTGTCTCTTAGTGAAATAATTGCAGTTTATTAAATACAGGATTATTAGTTATTTCTAGTATTTATGCTACTAGAACCTTTGTGGAAAGGAAAATCTGCTCTATTCTTGAATTTTCAGAGGAAGAGACCAGTACAGAAAGTAGAGATGGGAACATCAAATCAGAATGATGTTGATATGAGCTGGATTCCTCAAGAAACTCTAAATCAAATCAGTAAGTAGTCTGCCTTCCATATCTGGAGCATAGCACACTTAGTGATCACATAGCTAAGTAGCTCATGCTAAATTCTCAGGACAGTACATCTGGGGAATAAAAAGTTGTCTAAATCGCTGTACTTAAGACTATTATGTTAACAGCTTATTCTTGTATGAGACAGACTCAACTGGTTGATACAGTAACAGCTATCAGAGTGATTTTATTTTACACTTTGTTCTGTAGGCTCTCTTTCAACAGTATAAAACCTCTATCGAAAACCTATATCACAAGAGACTTAAATGGTGGGGGAGAGTATCATCTGAAAGTTTCTGTAAGTTGTTCGGAAGCTTGCCTATAGGCTGAACTGTTAAATAAACATCAGAAATGTGTAACCTTATCTTGAAGCTACATTAAGACGTGGATTAGAATGTCCTTCATACATCCAAAATAACGAAATTCAACTTAATATCCAACACTAAACTCAATATCTGATTTCTTTAGAGTAGCTATGTTTGTGGAAAATTCTAACTTCTCTTGCTCTTTCTTCTGTTTTGCTTTCCCATGGCTTCAGTGCAGAGTAGAAGAGGTGAGACAAACCCTGATGCTTTAAAGAGTGGAAATTATTGATGTGTGTCCATGTGATAATTAAGCATGGATAGAATTCTGGTTACCTGCATGCAGTGATTGGTGATAGTGTGAGAACAGTAATTGATTACAAAAACACACACATTTATATATATTATGTATATAATATGTGTGTATGTGTTAATATACACGTACATGCACACATATATAAAGTAAGTAAAAAATTTTTAGTTACTCTGCAAAAGTGTAGCTTAACTGTGATACGTTGGTGAAATACTCTGGTCTGTTCCAAGTGTCTAGAAACATTCACCTAAAATGCAGCTGTGTATCTTGTCCTCCCCACCACCTTGGTGTAATTTCATGCTGCAGTTAGTGATTAATGTGGAGGACTGGTCATGACCAATGGCTAAGCACATCTTGTTTCAGTCAGAAACAAAAAACAAGCTCCACTTGGAGTTTAATAGTTCAGTAGTGAGGCTTACTTATCCAGGAATTCCCTACCCCAGATGATCTCCTATAACCAATAGCACTACCTATTTTGAGGTGATTTGATAAAATGTTCAGCCCAGATGAGAGAAGCGCTTTGGAAATATTTGCAGAAACTACTTTACCTTGAAAGAGGCTCCTATTTTGATGAAATACGCATGTTCTGAGTAATCTTTAAGAGAGCCTGACAGCTTTATTCGTGTAGAAAGCCCTAGTTCATGTAGACGCCCTACTTCTGACATCAGGCTGTGCCAGGAGCTGACAACTTCACTTTTTAAATGCCTTTTTCCTTTATTAACTTATTTATATTGCACTATGTATAAGGACTAATGTTTCACTTGTGAAAATGTAAACTATCCTGTACACTCTGGTTTCTTGTATGTGACAGTCTCATACAGCCTTAGTCTAGCAAGAAGAACTGACTGAAACTCTAAATGGTAAATATCTCCGTAGAGCAAGCTGAATCTAAATTGAGTTAAAATCCTGGTAAGATTTAAATTCTGTCTCCCTACCCCTTTCTTTAAGCTAGATATGTATTCAACTTTTCAGTAATCTAAATTTGGGGAAAACTGAGGCTGGAGGCTTTTCCTTAATATTATTTTTTTCTTTAGTTCCAGGTTAGTTTTAATTAGAACTCTATTCTAGGATCCTTTGAAATTTTGAAATACATGGCCTTCAAGATCCTCGGAGATTCTAGGCTCTTTAGCTATCGAAAGATGTTTCTTCATGCTGTACTGATTGTTTGTAACAGCATGGCAGTTGCTCTTTGTATTTGCTCATGCTCTAAGCAGTTCTGTTTTTAACAAATTTTAACAAAATATGCATTTGTAAGTGCACAGACATTTATTTTTTCTTCAAAGTACAATAGCTTTTCTCCAGTCCTGTAAGGATTGAAAATTCCACCTTACCTATTCACTTTCACTGTTCACTAAAGGGCAATTGTAGGGATGTCATAAAGGCTTACATTTTAAGATCAGGCTTCAGCATCCAGGGACCATACAGCTAATGTGAGGTTGCTAACCCATACCAAATACCTGATTACAAAGTCTCCTCCTCATATTTAGATACGGCTGCTTGTCTTACCCAGATATGCTGGGTAAGAATCATTCTTTTTTCCCCCCCCCAGCCAAAATGATAAAACATTTTCTTGCTATTAATCTGAACGAATGTGGAAATATTTCATATAAGATGAAGATATGTAAAGGACAATCTCACGTTCTTCAGGCAGGTAAATTCAAAAACAGTAGTGACTAAAATCACAGAATCACAGAATCGTTTAGGTTGGATGGGACCTCTGGAGATCATCTAGTCCAACCTCCCTGCTCAAGCAGGGTCCTCTAGAGCACATTGCCCAGGGTCACATCCAGACGGGTTTTGAATATCTCCAGGGAAGGAGACTCCACCGCCTCTCTGGGCAACCTGTGCCAATGCTCTGTCACCCTCACAGTGAAGAAGTTTTTTCTCAGGTTCAGATGGAACTTCCTGTGGTTCAGTTTCTGCCCATTGCCTCTTGTCCTGTTGCTGGGCACCACGGAGAAGAGGCTGGCCTCATCCTCTTGACACTCCCCCTTCATATTGAAATAATTCATTAACTTTCTAAAAGTTTAGTAATTCCTAAGCATGGACATTTAAACAGCGGAACATGCAGCTTCAGCAGGATATGGTGTGGGTTTTTGTTTTAGTAACTGACAAGTTGAACAGGCTCAGACCTGAAGTTACATGTTACAGAATAAGAACACTTTTTCCTGTGTCACCTTCTGCTTAGAATGCTAATAGGTAAAAAGCATTAACGAGTTGTTTGAATTGTCTTCTGTGTGGTGATGTGTCACGTTACGAGGGCAGTTTGGTTTATGTTTGGGAGGGAGAAAAGTACATACTTTGTCATATAACATCTAATCTGAAGTAGACTTACCAATTGATTTTTTTTTTTCCTCTTTCAATCCAGATAAAGCTTCACCAAGGCGGTTGCCCCGCAAGAGGGCACAGAAAAGATCAGTGGGATCTGATGAGTAAATGTTAAATTGTGCAACAATTCAACCTTTACTAATCCTGCCTGTTTGGATTTGCTTGGATTGGAGTAGTGCAGAGAGTCCATACCACCATAAGGAACATACTGCTAAACATTTGGACTGAACAGATTAACTGAATGATGTTAATATTACTGAAAATGCACTTCTCTTTTTGTTAATAACTGTTGGGGGGAGGGGGGAGGTAGGCATTAAGACTTGTGCCTGCGTGTGTAAGCAGTTGGTCTTAACAATCTTAACTACCTGAAATGTGCCTTTAGAGTTCTTTGTAATGCTGGCTTCTCATCTGTACACTTGTCTTTGAAAAATTTTCCCCTCCCGTTCACCCCAATCTGAATGGGTAGTGACTTAATCTGTCTTGACTGTATACTGTCTGTATCAGAGTCTGTATGCATTTTTCTTTTCAGAATTTTCTCTACAGCACACATACTGAAGTTTGTGTGTGTGGTCCTATTTCAGTGGTAAAGCACTGATTATCTAGATTTCTGCATAATTAGCATTCTAAAGGCACAATTAGGTATAGCTGCTTGTAGCAGTAGACTGCTGCTGTTTTAATCTGGGCATGCAGCGAGCTAAAAATCTGAATTTATCTGTGTAAATGTTAGGAGGACTCTTATACAGCAGCAGAACTTGTGAAGCATGGAATTTGTGTGCTGAATTGGTATTACTACATAAATCTTTTTTTTTTACCCAACTTGTTAAATGATTAGTTATTGAGTCATGCCAGCAGCTTAGATATTCTGACTATAGTGGTAGCTCTGGAATGTTTGCTGAAAAAATTACTGAATATGCTACAACTAACTCTTCAATGAGTTCTCGGTTCTCTCAAAAACTAGAATGTCATCCGTATCAAAACACACGGACTTTTCTTACAAAGCTTTACAGGGGGAAGGACTTTGGATTTACTGTACACACTTGAAACTGAATTTGAAAAGCTGTTGGCTTCAAGTAATCAAAAACTGTAAAGGGTGAATTAAGTAGTTTTTCTGTCACTTACTCTTTTTTATCTCAGGCTTTTGCACTTATCAGTGCATCAATCCAAGCTGAGATTTTAACCACCCCGTCTTTCCCTTAGTAACACAGATACATTTCCATTATTAAATATGTGTTAGTTCAGCACTCAGCAGAAAAGCTATACATAATCAAAGTGGGATTGTCTTTTTGTGGCAGGCACCACTTACGTGATTACCAGGAGCTGAGGCACTGACCTGGCTCCCTTGCATTCAGGAATGTAACCTTGATGGTGAAAGGAGCAAATATTAAAATATTAAAGAGTGTTTGCTGCCATTCAGGCACTTGAACAAGGATTGAAATGTTTACATCTCATCTGCATATTGTTCTGTGTCTAAAGGTCTGGACCCTATCTTAAGGCTCGTTCAGTTTAGGAAATGCATTATCTGAGACTACCAGTTTTCTTCTTTTCTTCCCCTTCCTGATTTCCCACATTTGAAAGTGCTCTTTTTGATCTATACTTGTTCTACAGGGACTGAGCATCTGAGCCAATGAGAGTTGAGCAATATCTGTAAATCAATCATGTCACCGTATTGTGTTTGAAGCAGTGTTCTAAGGTCTGAAGCTATCTGTACTGCCACTGTTGTACTATATACTTCCCTAAAATGAAATGCAAAGATGTGCTTTACTCATCTTGTGATGGAAAATAGTACAAGAATGGGAAGAATAACCTCAATGATGCTTTGCTTAATGTGCTGATAACACAGCTAGCCCAGGCAGAATAATGTAATAAAGAGTTAAGATCGTATGGTAATACATACAACTTAGCAAACTGTTGAATGCCACCTTCAGAACAGATGACTAATGCAAATTGCATGGAACAACTTTGCCTTAAGTGATGTAATCTGACTGACTGGCTCTGTGGTAGGTTTGTGTTGTTCAAGCTTGCATTGATTCACCGAAATGTTTATATATTAAATGTTTTGTTATACTAAAGGCTACAGCTATTGCAGTGGCTGATGTACTGAACATCTGAAGTAGAATGGTATCTGCCCTCTCTTGGATTATGCCTCCTACCTGAAAACAGATTTTTCAAAGCTCCTCCTACCTGAAATCAGGAGAGTATTTTTAACCTCCTGGTAATAGGTAATCTTAAATTGTGTACTTCAACTCACTGCAAGATTTCAATAGGGGAAGGTACTCTTTGTTCAGGTGGTGATAATGAGAGCTTCTGTAGATTCAGTGGTACTCTACAAGAAAAGGCAAAGGACCAGAACAGAGGGTAGTAATCTGTAATATCTTGGAATACCTAGTTTAATTTCCTCGAATGAACAGAAGTTTAGCTCTTACTGATTTTTTAGCTTTTGGACCAAGTTAGTCCTTTCAAAAATATCTTATGCTAACTGGAACTCCAGTGGAAAAGTTGAATGTAGAAGGACTGAAACACTGTGCAAATAAGAAATAGAAATAAATTAATATTTGGAGGTATCAGCTTCTTTCCTCTCAAGTGTTTAAGATCCAATTACTAAGTATGAAAGAAGAGAGGAGACAGTTTGTTATTTCCTAAGCAAGTCTGCTAATTGAAGAGTACAGATGTAACAAAAAGACATCTTTCAGGTTGTACAGCTCTACATCAGCATTGGATGGTTACTATTAACTTTCTCAGCTGGAAATGGTTAGTTCATAGGAACTCTGGCTAGCAGTCCAGTACTTCTCATGATAAATGAAGTAACAGTTCAGTTCTAAATTCCTTGTTGTTTCTCAGTTTGCTTTAGTTTAAATTTAGCAATAACATTCTAGTGTGTAGTAGTAATTGAACTCTGGCATCTCTTGCATTCTTTTTAGTGAATAACCCAGTTTATTACATCTGGATTTTTCAAAGGGGGAAAACATGACTTTTATGCTATTGATTATGTAACAACTTTCACTTTGATATTTGAATTTTCTACCTTTTTTTTTTTAAACACTACCCATACAGGTAGTTTAGTATCAGAGGCATGTTACTGGATATCATTATTAGTGGAGTAGCTTGTAATTTCATTCACTTTAAGATGGAACAAGTTAGCAGTTCTGCCTGTCTCTATGCCATCCTTTGCTCTGTGGCAGCACAAGCATTTGTATAATCGACCACTTTTACCAGCCTCTTTTTCTGCCAGTTTACTATGCAACTGCTCATGTGAAGTTATGAGAAGAGGACCAAGCACTCAAAGAAATGTTGCTAGGGTTTTTGCCATTATTGGTAAGGGATACTAAGAATGGTGTTACACTGCAAATGAAACTGTGGCCTTAATGAAAGGACCACTGTTAATTCCTTCCTCATGGCTCCTGAAATACTACCAAAAATTAAGAAGGCTTGACCAGTTTGTACTTGGGGGGAGGAGGAGATGATACCTGCTTTTAAGTTTCCTGTCTACAGTAGTAGCAAAGCATTAATTTAGCTATGTTTGGACCATGTTTGATACCTGTAGCCCTTTATTTTTTATACTGATAGCAGTTTATTTTCCTGCTATCGTTTTATCAGATAAGTGGCTGCTGTCAGACTAAAGGATGAAGTCTCATCATGATTCCTTATGTACAAAATAGCTGAAGTACAGGCCACAGAATTGGATGGTGGAGAGAGTGATGGCAATGCTTCAGCTTGCTTCAAAACATTCGTGCTGACTATCTATCTTCCTTATCTTGGAATGGAAGTAGTCTGCAGCATTGTTCACTGTTTTTATTCCTGGCACTCAAGGTGCTGAACAGAATGTTCCTCTTGGGGAAAGTAAGTCAAACACTAACACAGGCTGGTTGTGTGGTGGTTCAGTGCGCTTGGTGTACTAAGCAGCAGTTCAGAGACAATTCCCTTTTCGTCTTCAAAGGGAAGACAGTGTCTACCTCATAGGCATGATACAAGGGCTGTTTCAGGAATATTTTGAAGTTACGTGTTTACTGTCTTCATGGTAGCAGCTTGTGTAAGATGTAGCACTAGTGCAACTTGATGGTAACTACAAGTAGTCGTGCTCTACACCACTTTAATCCTTTCATTGAATAGCATTTAGCAGCTTTATGCTAAGATTCTCCTTACTATACAGAAGACTTGCAATTAGCTTACAGGAGAAAGTGAAGCCAGAGGTTTCAGTTTCTGCAAGCGTATAGGTAGACTAAATTACACTGTCTCTTAACGCTTTTCCATGTAGATCCAAATTGTCCCAGGGATTTCTCTTATTCAAAGAAGTGATACAGATGATGGTTCTTGTAGATACAGTTAACAGTCAGTTTGTTTAAGAATTATTGTTTTGGGTGATTAAGTTTAGATGACTGATATATTGCAACTGAAATGTTAAGTCTACATTTATTTTATTACCTGCTTATTTTCATTTATAAGTGAGATCAGATCTCTTGAAAATGAATGCAGCTTTTTTATAAAGTAAATGTGAAAATTTCTTAGCATCTTGTAGGTTTTTTTAATAAAGCACGACTATGGCACCAAAAAGCCTGAGTGGTACTCTGGTGCTCTTTTCCTTGACGAAGAAGCCCGTAGTAGCAAATATGCAAAAAGACTGAAAGCATGCTATACTTCAAAAGCTGCTTTTCTCCAACTGTATTGGGAATGGGGATAATAGCAAGGAAGTGTTCTATGGTAGATACAGTCAGGAGTGGACAATCGAACAATGGACAGATATTAACAGATTAATATTACTTATGAAAATGAGGAGATTCAGGGAGGACTCTGGGGGAAGCATTCAGTAAGAGTAAGGACATATTAAAATTATTGAATCCTGATCTGTTGAAACTGAACTGTAATCTTACATTTCCAGAAGGAACAACCTATTGCTAAACTGCAGGCAGTGTGAAAAGAATCTAATAAGATGCTTTAAAGGCTGCTGAAGCACAAGGTGATAACCAGACTGGTGCTTTAAAGGCATGTGCTGTTGTCTAAACAAGCAAAAAAAAAAAAAAAAGAAAAAGAAAATACCAGTTCAGGCACATGTACTGCATCTAAACAGAAGAAGGTAATACTTGCTTGGAAAAAAGCTAATTCATTCATAAGCAAGGTAAGTTTGTGCAGCTGGGTGCTGCATTACATCTTTCGGTTGGATATAGATTCCCCCTAAGGCTGCAATGAAGTGTTTAGTATTAGAATTTGTTTTCACTCAGCTTTTTTCCCCCTAGTGTTTACTGATAATTGTGAGAACCTACAATAATCTGTTACTTCTCTCCAATGCTAACTGAAATTATCCTTAAGTATGTCTTGCTAGACATATATTGATTCTGGTCAGTGTAGTAGAAGGCAGTGTCATGTCTTTACAGGCAATATCAAAATTGGGGATTTAAAGGGGAATAGCAGCACACTAACACATATTAAGGAAGTGTGTATAATCCTAGACTTTAAGGCAGCAGTAGATAAACTGCATGTTTTTATATATATTTTATACCTATGCAGTCTTAATTGTAATTTCTTTGGCAGTTGACTGATTTAAGGTCAGGCTTTTCTTAACCTTCTTAAGCAGTCAGTGAAGACGGGAAAGAGGCAAACAGCCTCTGCTATCTCAGTTGATAGCCAGTTTTTCTTTGCATGTATGCTATTGTGATATGTTTATTACAGAGCTAAGGTCTCACTAACCCCTCTGGAGTAAGATGGGATAAAATACTAGCTTTGTACAGAATAAAGAAGGGATGGATACAGAACTGATAGGTTAAAGTACAGTTTTAATGCAAAGCAAATTTTTTCTCTTTTCTTAAAGCAGCATGCAATCTGCTTCAGTCACTTCCAGTGTATAATGTTTGCTGTCCTGTTCCTTTATGCTGGATACAGGAAATGATGTTATAGTGACATATCTGCATTCAACTCCTGGATCCAGAATGCAATAGTCAATTGCAAAATAGCATTTAGGCTTTCCTCCTCCCTCTCTCATGCTGCCAGATACGGCAGTGGATGCTGATTTCCATCCCCTGCCTCCAAAGGTTTGATCTTTGCAAGAGTACTTTTATTAGCTTATGTTTGGCGGAGAAGGGGCCTCTTACAAAAATCTGTATGTATATCGTAGATAGTTTTTAATAGCCTCTAGCGCCTCTATCTTCTCTGCTACCTCTGTTCTGTCCAAGTACCTCTAAATAATAAAACAAGTGTTAACCTTGGCCAGAGCCAGTTGTCATAGCAGGCATAAACTGTTCCAACAAAAACGGCTTAAAAATGAAGAGTGGTGAGGCTCTTTTGTTCCTATGAATTAAATCTCTGGGTAAATATGGGAAAGTTTAAGAGGAGGTATTTTGACACTTATGTCAGAGTTCTTAAATATGACATTTTTTTCTAAATTGAAGGTCCGCCTCATCTTTCCTTCAAAAGAGCAAGGTAATAAGACTTCCTAAAACTTCAGATTGGTCTTTGTTCTTTCCTAGCAGTCATTGCAACCTTCATTTCACTAGGTCATCTTTCTGTCCCCTTGTTACTTGTCTTAATCATCAGTTCATATTAACCAAGATCAACAGAAGCCCAGTAAGACACAAAGCATGTTACAGCTTTCATGTCAGTTAATGGTAAGGGAAAACTGAAACTTACCTTCCCCATCCCTTTTGGTCTGTTAGCTCACACAGAAACCACAGCTTGTCCTGCTTTCGTTGGGTTTTCCTTATGCTATTTAATTCACCTTATGTAACAAACTTAAAGAGCAGTGTTTATCATATAATGAAGACAAAAAGGGGGAGTTCACGTGCATAGTGACCACACAAGCAGCGGTGAAAGAACAGGTACAGAGATATTTCCAAGATGACCTCAGTGGATATTGTAGTAGAACAGAAGTACAGATGTTTGCTATACGGCCTGGATGTGGCTGGACAATGTCATGTTTCATCCGTATGAGGCTGCGTTGGTGAGCTATGTGTGATTAAAGCCTTACCCAGAGGATAAAAAGCATACTAGGTTCACTAACTAGATCAGGACTCTGAAAATGGTATAGTCAGCAATACCAAAAGCTGCCAGCTGAGGGATCTCCCACAGCCTATGACAGCTCCCTTTAAGAACAGGCAAAAGCCCCAAAAGATCTCTA